AAATGAATCATTGGAACCCTCTCAGCCTGCCTGCCCCGCATACGGTGAATTGTTAGAGGTTATGGCGCGTGCTACTGAGAGATTAAATCCTCCTTGGAAACACGAAAAGCCAAAGTCCACCCGCGGCAGATTAGATGAGCCTTTTTTGGCTGGCCATGATCTCCCAGTTCCAACGAGTCTTCCGTTTTTGCCAGACCTTCACACCGAGGTGGAAAGGTCTTGGAAAAATCTATATTTGGCTCGCGTTCATCTTTTTCACAGCGCAAATTATGCGAATGTGGAGGGATTGCGCGAGCACGAATATGCATCAATGCCTCCCATAGAAGAGACGTTGGCAAACTGTCTTTCAATGGGAGAAACATCGATGTTGAAGACTCCGACCTTGCCGTCGAAGCCTCTGAGAGTGACATCTAAGCTGAACGGCAGGGTGTATGCGGCTGCGGGTCAGGCTGGTGGTGCTCTGCACACAATGGCTGTGTTGCAGGCCTACCAGGCTGATCAGCTTAAAGTCCTGGACGATGGCAAGGGCCTGTCCCCTGAAGTGGTGATCGAGCTGCGCCGTACTACAGAGCTGGCTCTCCGGGCCACTAAACAAACAGCTGCTGCAATTGGTCATGCAATGGCGGCCACGGAGACACATCTCTGGATTAATCTGGCTGACATTGGGGAGAAAGAGAAACATTTTCTTCTTGATTCGCCAGTCTCGCCCTCCGAGTTATTCGGCACATCAGTTGAGGCTGTGGTCGATAAATTCAGAGAGGCAAGGGCGCGGTCAGGCTCGTCACTTGCTCAGTTTATGGATTATGCTTTGTTGACTGTTGCCTCTTTGTTTACTGTGGGTGTCGCGGAGGAAGAACGTGACACCGCGTCTGTGACTGAAATGGTGGCTGTACCAGTGCGCGCTCGCATAATGGCAGTGACAGCGGAGCCCGTTTGCAAAATGGCAGCCACAAAAACGCCCTCTTATGTAACTGCTGCCATGCCAGTGTCAAGTCACATCTCAGCTGATTGTCCAGAGTCAAGTCCCGTCACAGCTGATCGTCCTGTGTCAAGTCACGTCACAGCTGATCGACCAGAGTCAAGTCACGTCACAGCTGATCGACCAGAGTCAAGTCACGTCACAGCTGATCGTCCAGAGTCAAGTCACGTCACAGCTGATCGTCCAGAGTCAAGTCACGTCACAGCTGATCGTCTAGAGTCAAGTCACGTCACAGCTGATCGTCCAGTGTCGTCATGTCACGGCTGATATCACAGCTGATTGTCCAGTGTCAAGTCATGTCACAGCTGATTGTCCAGTGTCAAGTCACGTCACATTTGTTCTCTCAGTGTCCTGTCACTTCCTGTCTGTCGCACCCAGATCCTCAAAGTCTGTTCATCAGTATCCCAGACTGGCATCCAGCATGGAGGACCCACCGCTGGTGTCAGCACGTGCTGCTGGTATCCCTAAACAAGCGCTCTCAAACCCTTTTGTCCCAGAAGTAATCCCCTTGTCTGCTGCATTTCCTATATGGGGGATTGCTCTCTGGTGTGTATGGGTTGCGTTCATTACCGCCGAAGTTCCAGAGCCAACGACATCCGCGGAAGGATTGCCAGAGGTGGCGGCGTTTGCTGCAGAACCTCCAGAAATGGCAGTGCCCACTCCAGATTCTCCAGAGGTGGCAGCTGAGGCTGCAGAACCTCCAGAGACAGCGGTGCCCATTCTGGATTCTACGGAGGGGGCGGTGTTTGCTGCAGAACCTTCTGAGGCGACGTCTTTCACTTCAGCTCTGGTTACGGTAGTGGCGTCCATTAATGAACTCTGCCTTTCCTGTCACGGCTATGGAGGCCGTCTGTGAACTCTCTGCCTGTCCTGCCACGGCTATGGAGGCCGCTGATTGGACTCACCTGCATGAAAAAGCTCCCTATTTACAAGTCTGTGAACTCTCTGTTTGTTTTGTCAAGGCTATGGAGGACATCTGTGAACACTTTGCCTGTTCTGTCAAGGCTACGGAGGCCATTTATGAACTTTTGTCCTGCTCTGAACCGGCCGAGGAGGCCATCTCTGAACTCTCGCCGTGTTCTGAACCAGCCTTGGAGGCTGATTGTGGACGGTATATCCGTCTCGTCTCAACTCATGTGTCTGATTTCGAACTGTCTGTCTTGCCTGTTCCTGTCAAGGAATCTAAACCTGACCTGTCTGTCTAAATGCTTCTGTTGAGTCTGAATTTGAACCATCTGTCGGTCCTGATTTTGTCATTGAGTCTGTTGTTGAACCACCCGTTTGTCCTGTTATTAATGGGTCTGAGTGTGAATTTGTCTATGTGTCCAGTTACAGTCAATGGACCCGATTATGAACAGTCTGTCACTGCTTCAAACACTGCTCCAGCTTCAATCACTGAACTGTCTGTCAAACCAGTATCCGTCCATAAGTTGTTTGTCAGTTCAGATCCAGCCTATTTTGTTTCAGTTAACAAACCTGATTCTGAACTTTCTGTCTGTCCTGTTTTACCAGATGAGTCTGATGTTGAAGCATCTGTCAGTCCAGTTCTAAACAAGAAACTTGTTATCTGCCACTTTAATCCAGTTATGAGCCCAAAAAATATAAATGCACTCCATGTCTGTCCCGTTAACCCTGTCACTGCCGTAGAGACCATTTATGAACTGTCTGCCTGTTCAGTTGTCACCAGGGAAAATATTGATGAACATGTTGTGTCTGGCTCTGGGAGTCTTCAGCTCCGCCGTGGTGGTCTTCTGCTCCATCTGCTCTGCCGTGGTGGTCTTCTGTCTGGCTCTGAGGGTCTTTAGCTCCGCCCGTGGTGGTCTTCTGCTACGTCTGCTCCTCTGTGGTGGTCTTCTACTCCATCTGCTCCGCCGTGGTGGTCTTCTGTCTGGCTCTGGGGGTCTTCAGCTCCGCTGTGGGGATCTTTGGACTCGTCTGCTCTGCTGTGGTGGTCCTCAGTTCCACCTATCCTGCTGGCTCCACCCTGGTTTCCTGCTCTGCCGGCTCCACCCTGGCATCCTGCTCTGCTGGCTTTGCCTCAGTCCCCTGTCCCTACACATCCATATGGACCTGGCCCTCCATCTCTCCCCCTGTTCCGCCTCCGCTCCACCACCCTCCTGGATTGTACTCTGTTGGGAGCGTCTGGAAGCCGCTCCTTGGTGGGGGCTCTGTCACGAATCCGGTTTGTGGTTTTCCATCTGCTTGCCACCAGAGGTCACTCTTCCGTTACACATACTGTTACACGTCACCCTGGACTACATTTCCCATGTTCCATTGCACTGATTGGACTCACCTGCAGTTAATCACACACACACTATATTACACCCACTCAGTTCCTTCTCAAACTGCCGAGTATTGTCTGCATTTATCTCTCTCTTAGTGACTTTACACAGCCATTCCGTTTTTCCTGAGTTAGTTTAGTTTATTCTTGTTCATAGTCTGTTTACTCGTGGTTTGATCTTAGCCTGTTTTCTCATCTTGTCTGATCTCTGCCTGTCCTGAAGTTTATAGCCTGCCTTGGATCTCTCTCTCGTCTTGTCATTTGGACTCTGTTTGCCCCTGCCTGGACTATTAACGTGTACCTGGATTATCTCTCTTTGTTTTGCCCCCTGGGTCATGTTCGCCGCTGATCGACCCCGACTGTTCACTGGACTACTCTTGTGTCTTGTCCTTGACATACCTGTTTGCTGGCGTTTGATCCTGCCTGTGTTTTGACCATGTTTATTAATAAAAGCTTGCAAATGTTTCCACACGCCTCACGTCTCGTTCCCCCCGATAGATAGATAGATAGATAGATAGATAGATAGATAGATATAAGTGACCAGTTTTAGCTACTTTCAATTGAAAGCAGTTGGAAACACTGGTCAGTGTTTTTTTTTTCCCCCTTCATATTTTGATGGTTTAAAGAAATAATAATAATAAATAAAAAAATCCACACATAACTTTTGGCCACTGTTGTGTTTGGTGGGGTTAGCACCACAATATGTAAGACCCTGCTTACCGTGTCATCACTGGTGCATTGCTGCATTTTTACAATTTTCCAACCCAAAAAAAAATGTAATTACTACTTTCATTTCTGCAGTTAGAGCATTGACTTGTAGAGTGGAAGAGCTTATTAAATGTTTTACTTTGTCAGTTACAAAAACAAATGGACTATATTGACAATCAAGTTTGTATCATTTTATTAACTCCATATCATCATATAACTCCAATATGTCATATCTTCATTGGAAACTGTTTGTATCCTCTTTGCTGCAATCTTGTTACTCCTAACTAGGTTAGGAGACATCTCCAGCTCTCTTAAATAATTTAGGAGCTGAGACCTAGTCTTACAACCTGTATGAATCACTCTTATTCTTAAGTATAGGAATAAGAGTAAAAATATGTCATTCTTAGAATTTAGAAGACACACTTAAGACTAAAATTTTACTCTGAGTGGCTTTATACATATGCCCCCTGAACAACAAAATGATTCGGTTCATTCCCTCGACCCTCAAGCCCTTTTAGTGATGCCGCATGCTCCATTAAGTGTTTTTGCTCCCAAGGTCAACACAGTCCCTGCCAGCCTATTACGTGACAGCATTAAGACCGCTATATTCAGAGCTTCAGTACACAAACATTGAATAGCTGATTTGCCATTGGGTGTTGAAAATCGTGTGTTGAAAATCTATGTTTGTATGATAACAGAAATCTGAAAGCTAGCAGAAGGCAGAAGAAATGATATCACAGTTGCGCTAGCTAGCACAATGATTGATAGCAGATAGCAAGAACGTTTGGGCCAAATGTGGCTGATAGCTCTCACATTTGGCCTAGGTATGGCATGGCTGAGCACATATGGGCCAAACTTTAACCGTATATGTTTTGCCATGGATTTAGAATTGGAGGGAATTTTCTTTTGGATGACAATTTTTTTGAGGTATATGGTCCAGATGATAGCACACAACTGAGAGACATATGTGGCTTGGCTATGGCACACCATGGAATATGTTAACTTATGGTTAACATTTGGCTTTTATTGGGAAAAACACATATAAACTGCTGGCAGGTTAGTGGCAGTCCACATCTCAGCCCATTCAACAATGCTATTGGTTGCTTTGTGTCTTCCCTTATTCCTATTGGTGGATTACTGAAATTTTGAAAATATATCCGTTATGATCCCGCTCTGCTTCCTCTTTCAATCGCCATTAAAAAAGAAGAAGATGATGAAAAAGCTCCCTATTTACAACAACAGCCTTTGCCCAGACACATTCTTATGCAGGTAAGTGCAGTTTTGGTGTTTTAAATGATTTCTAGGGGTGTAATGGTACACTTATTAATACCGAAAATTGTACCGAACAAATACGGTGTCATTTTAACCACTACACGTGTGGAACTTAATCCGTTTCAATTCATAGCTGTGAATAAATCTTCACATTATTACTATACATTACATTCTGTAATGGTTTGTGTTTTGTTCTTTTCGATAAGAAACAAAGTCTCATTTTTAAAATTATGTCTATTTTTTCAGGAAATTAAATCCATAAATGCCATTTTGACGCTCTTTGATGTGGCGTGACAGACCGCTGCAAGCGGAAGCGCGGAGATAGCCTCTTAAATTGTCAATGAAATGGTGTTAGCTAGCTTACATCTGATTTACTTGCTGGCTAGCTGCTGTATAAACACATTTTGCTTTAGCATTTGCTAGTTAAACTTTAATACCATAGATCAAATATATTTAGCAATATCATCAAAACTGCTTAAATGTAGTAATGTGACTTATAGTCTTGCTGTATGCTGACTATAATTTTTGCTTACTGTTTTTCGAATACTATGAATTTGGACATACAGTACTACTCTGTTGTAGTGGTCAACAAAAGGTGTCCCTCCTTTTGTTGCTTCCCTTTGAGCCAGGGGTTGTAACAATAGAGAGAGCTTTGTTGATAACCAAGGGAATATTTATTAGTATGATTAGTATACCAAAATACTAAATTTCAACAGAAGTTGAAAAAAAACTACATTTATACACAAACTGCTCATCAGCTGCATTTTCTGACACTTTTTGTCCTTCAGCTCAGCTGTAGTGGAATCACATACACAGGATTGTAGGATATCACAGATGGCTAAGGATGCATCTATACTGCCTTCAAAAATCAATCAGATCAGTGTTGCCTCCAAATTTGGGATTGGGTAAAAAATTGAAGGCCCATGCCAAGTGTGCAGGATAGAAATATCTTTCTGTGTGAGCACAGTTTGCATGTACTATGCTGATGACAAAATGTACAACATGTAAAAAAATTTATACGTGTAAATACCATGGTATACTTTGGACATAAGAAGCATTATTTTTTATTGGGCTACTGAATACTTGAATTATATTCAACGTGTTATCACTGGGATTCTGAACAGACGATCACTTTATGTGATGAATATATTTAATTTAGGCTCTTTTAGAGTCTCATTTTTGAGTGAACAATCCATCATCACATAAATGTACACATTAACACTTGCATGTTACTCTAGTTATTCAAACCAAGAAGCACTGTTTGACAGCTGAAATCACAAACAGAAAAACAAAGAAGCATATGAAGAGTAAATTAAAGGAACAGTTCACCCCCAAATAAAATGTACTCACTTTCAGGCTAACCAGGATGTAGTGAAGTGACATGTGGCCAAGTATGGTGACCCATACTAGGAATTAGTGCTCTGCATTTAACCCATCCAAAGTGCACACACACACCGTGAACACACACCCGGAGCAGTGGGCAGCCATTTTTTGCTGCAGCGCCCGGGGAGCAGTTGGGGGATCAGTGCCTTGCTCAAGTCAGTCGTGGTATTGAAGGTGGGAGAGAGCGCTGTACCTACATTCCCTGCCGGTACGAGACTCGAACCCGCAACCTTTGGGTTACAAGTCCAACTCTCTAACCATTAGACCATGACTTCCAAACTCATGTAGATGAGTTTGTTTCCTCATCTGAACAGATTTGGAGAAATGTAGGATTCCATCACTTGCTTACCAATGGATCCTCTGCAGTGAATGGGTGCCGTCAAACAGCTGATCACAATTTTCACGATCACCAGCTGGAGTGCCCATGAGAACCACCAGTGGGCACTTCCTCCCTGATTATTAATATTCACCCAGGACTCCATTTCCCATAATCCTTTGCCCGGACTCATCTGCACTCATCGTCAGTTGCTGTCACCTGTTACTCATTACCTCATTAGTCTCACTATAAGAATGGCACACATGCACACTCACATAGCTGTTGATTGCTAGCCTGTAATGTTTCCTGGTCTTCTGTGTTTCCTTGCTTTGCCTTAGTTTTCTTTGATCTTGGACAGTTATCTGTTTTCGTGAATGTTTGTTGCCTGCCCTGACCTCTGCCTGTTTTTGGATTACCCTTTTGGATCATCTTGGATGCATCGGTTTGCTGTTACTGACCCTGCCTGTCTGAGTACATTTTATGAATAATGCAGCATTTGGATCCACATTTGGATCCACGACTCCTTGTTACAACAATCATCCATAACACCACAATAATCCACACCACTCCAATCCATCAATTAATGTGAAGTGAGAAGCTGTTTGCAAGAAACAAATCCATCATTAGGCATTTTAATTTTAAAACATCACTTCAAATCAACTTAAAGACTTCTTGCTTCTAAAAGTGAGAGACAATTGTAACACTCTGTTGTGCTGGCACACAGGTTACAAGTTATAGGTTCTTTGAAACAAATCGGTTATGTTAGTTATTGATGAAGGGCTTGCTGTAATACTATATTTGTAAGAGTGTAAGTGTTTGTGTTTGTTAGTTTTTACAATTGTGCTGTGCACTGTAGATCACTGAGAAAGTATATTCTGATACGGATTACAAATTACATGAATAAAAATGTAGTTAATAATGCAATCAATCATATTACTGTCACAGATCGGCCAGACTCAGTCACCTCCCAATCATCACAACGATCCCTCTCACCTGTGCTTTGATCACCTGCACCTGTCACCAATCAAGCACCTCATTACCAGCCTGCATAAAAGCACACACCTCAGACACCCTCACTGTCCGGTCTCGTATACATGTAGAGGACTCAATGACTTTGCTACTACTTCCATTTGAATACTTCCTGCATTACTTACCTCCTGTGTTCCTCCTAGTGTCTCCTCATCTCCAAGTGTCTCCTGTTCCTCCTAGTTCCCGGATCGCTGAGGTGTGTGCTCCTCCTGCCTGCATTCCAGCTCCTGTACAGCCAAGGACCCGGATTACCCCGCTCCTCATACCCTTCGAACTATTCCCTCACCATCACCTCCTCTGAACCCTACCCCAGTACTCTCTGTGACCCAATAAACCTATTTGATATAAACTAATCTGTTGCGTCAGACCTCTTCCGTTACAATTACACATTTTAGGTAATGGGAGTTGTTTTTGCTTCCTTTTAGATTTCTTTAATTGTGTGTTGATTTTGTCCCCAAATGTAGATCGCAAATTAAAAAATACAGAGTTTTCCCCATAAGTCAATTACTCAGATATGTTTGCATAATGAGAGAGTCTAGAATTATGAATGGGCAATTTTGGCATTACAAATGGCGTTTGTGTCTTTAACGTATCAGATATCTGTTAACAAAAATGCATTTCAAAGAACACGCAACCAGTCCATAAAACTAAAACTAGTTGTACCATGCTAATGCAGTCGGTTTGACATTTATTACATTGTAAATAAGAAATGTGAATTTGAGCATTTTAACATGTTTGTATGGGGGGAAAAAAACTTTCAAAATATATATGTAATGTATGGTTAAATGACTCACTGAGAGATAATTCACATTAAAATATGTTGATATGCAATATTGAGAAAGCAAATATTCCACAAAATGTAGGGAATGTACAGTAAACTGAACATTTTAAAGCATTATAATCAAGTTACTTAATTTTTGGATTCTGATTATGTAATCCAGATTACATTTAATCAGTTACTACCGAGCATTGTGCATCACTCTTTGTTTTATTGTGATTTATCAGGGAAAGTAGTAGTAAACAAGAAACTTGACTTATGCATTTACTGTATATCATGTTTATTTCTGATGCAGATGATCTCTCCACAGGCTCTAACACATTGTTCGTGGATATCCTCATTTCAGGTCAGCATAGAATATCAACAATTCAATTACTGTACTGATGTACTGTTGTATGAGAATGTATCGCTACTCATTCGAGTGGCTTCTTCATTCCTGGACACATATTAATCTGTTAGTTATCTATGTGATCCACAGACACACTCTCTTGAGGAACAACACACAGGTCTGCAGAGCTGGGAAGACCAGGCTTCACCATGGTAACCAAAGAGTACTGAGGAAGACCTGTGCACCGTAAGATAAACAGTGTGACATGAGTGTATTAAAATGTTGTTTTGCATAACAAAACAAACAGAGCTTTAATGTATGTGTGTGTGTGTTAGTTCAATATATATATATTAGTTCATATTATATATAAAGTTAATATTCATATGACTCACAAAGCAGGTTGCATAAAGTGAGAGATGTTTTAATATGGGTGAACTAAAAATCTGCTGTGAGTCAATCAAAAAACAAATGACGTGTTTTATAATAAGAATAGAAAAACAGAACAGCTTTGAGTTATATTAAAAATTGTCCTGGCTCTTTTAAATTTTTCATTGATTTCATTTTCATTTTTGGGTGAACTAATCCTTTAAAACAGTTAGTAGTAGTTTAACCAAGAATAAATGTTCTGTCATTTTCTGACCCTCTTGTCATTTCAAACCCATATGCTTAGGTGCTTTGATTTTTTTAAACAAAAAGTTATATATGTATACCAGTAGTGTGCGGTGGTGTTTTAAAATGAGGAGGCAGTTTTATAAATATACGTTTATATATAAATGTTACATAAAAAAGAGAACAAATATAACTATATTTTGTATTTAATTTTTTTATTATTTTTTTAATATTGTTAATACTAATTATACATTTCATAGTGTTTTTATGCATTTTTATATTTATTCCAAAATAATAACTAAAGGCAGTAACAATTTGAACAATATTCTGGAAACAGTTTACAATAAGGTTTCATTAGTTAACATTCATGAGGTAACATTACTCTACCTCAGGACATACGTAATAGTTTTAGTCTCTCAATTCTTAAATCACGTCTCAAAAAATTATTTTTTAGATTAGCTTATCCTGACTGATTTAGTTATGTTATTGGGTATTGCTTTTTCTTTGTATTATTGTTTGTGGTGTTGTTTTTTTTCTTCTGCTTTAATTATTTATTTTATTATTGTAAGGTGTCCTTGAGTGTCTTGAAAGGCACCCATAAATAAAATGAATTATTATTATTATTATTATTATTAGTTAACTACTTTAGTTAACATGAACTAAGAATAAACAATAGCCTACTTCTACATCATTTATTAATCTTAGTTAATATTAATTTCAACATTTACTAATGCATTATTAAAATCAAAAGTTGTGTTTGTTAACATTAGTTTATGCACTGTGAACTAACAATGAACAACGATTTATATTAACTAATGCAAACAAAGATTAATAAATACTGTAATAAATGTTCATCGATGGTTCATGTTAGTTAAC